CCATTTTCAGTTTACTTTATTCTCACAAGATTAACCCCACACTAATTAAAGGGTTCAATAAATAAAAGTAGAGACTAGAGCAGTAAACAATCATTGAATCTCAAAATGTCAATTTCATTCCTATACATTATATTTTCAGTACTCTATTAGTTATAACAGATCAGGGAGACCATATGGTATTTGCCTTTTGGGGACTGGCTTATTTCACTAAGTATCATGGTTTCCAGTTGCCTCCATCTTTTTGCAAAAGACAGGATTTCATTATTTATTTTTTTACTGCTGAGTAGTATTTCTATCTATCTATCTATCATCTCTCTATCTGTCTCTGTATCTATATCTCTATTTCTCTATCCATCTATTACAATTTCTTTATCAAGTCATTGGTGGGTGGACATCCAGGTTGAATTCATATCTTAGCTATTGTGAATTGACCTGCTATTAGGCTACAGATAACTCTTTCATATGCTGATATCATTTCCTTTGGGTAAATTCCTAAGAGTAGGATTTCTGGTTCATATGGTATAGTCATTTTCAGCTTTCTGAGGTATCGCCATACCGTCTTCCAATATAGTTGTACCAGTTTAATACTCCCACCAACAATGAACAAGGGTATCTTTTTCCCCACATCCTTGCTAGCATTTATTGCTTGTTGATTTTTTGCATAATAGCCATTCTAACTGAGTTGAGGTGAAACCTCATTATGGTTTTGATTTGCTTTTCTCTGGTGGCTAATGATCCTGAGCATTTTTTCATGTGTCTGTTAGCCATTTTAATTTCCTTTTTTAATTTATTTTTTGCCAGGCAGAGTTAGACAGTGAGAGCGAGAGACAGAGAGAGAGTTATAGACAGTGAGAGAGAGACAGAAAGACAGGTCTTCCTTCCGTTGGTTCACTCCCCTAATGGCCGCTACGGCCAGTGTGCAGCACTGATCTGAAGCCAGGAGCCAGGTACCTCCTCCCGGTCTCCCATGCAGGTGCAGGGACCAAACACTTGGGCCATCCTCCACTGCCCTCCCAGGTCACAGCAGAGAGCTGGACTGGAAGAGGAGCAACCGGGACTAGTACCCAGCACCACGACCAGGACTAGAACCCAGGGTGTCAGCGCCACAGGAGGAGGATTAGCCAAGTGAGCCATGGCGCCGGCCTGAATTTCCTCTTTTTAAAAATAATTTGCAACACAGTGCAGATCACTCTTAAATAATCAGGGAGAGAATTAGTAACTAGAAGGAAAGATTGAGGATGTTTATGGAGACCGACGTGACAAAGTAAACCATATGCAGAGAGTAGCTACAGTTGTAAAAGTATTGTATTCAGGAAATATTGCAATATTGCAAGAAAACATCTTGGTATAGTACCAGGTTCAATTCAGAATATAACATGGGAAAATAGGGTTTATAGTCATGGTACAGGGAAAATAATTAGCAATAGATTTAATTAATTAATTATTAATTAAAAGAAAATTACTTAGAAAACACACTAGGTATAAGAGGAGATTCCTGGGGCCAGCATTGTGATGTACCTGGTAAAGCTACCACTTGGGAGACCGACATTCCATTTGGGTGTTGGTTTGTGTCCTAGCTGCTCCACTTACAACCTAACTCCATTTTAATGGTCTGGGGAAAGCAGTAGAAGATGGCCCAAGCTTTTGGGATCCTACACCCACCTGAAGGATGTGGATAATGTTCCTGGCTCCTGACTTCAACCTGATTCAGCTGTGGTCATTGCAGCCATTTGGGCTGTGAACTAAGGAATGGAAAAAATCTCTCTTCTCTCTGTCTCTCTCTCTATCTGTATTTCTGCCTTTCAAATAAATAAATAAGTCTACAAAAATAAGGAGAGATTCCTGCTTAACAGATATAATAGGATTCTTACTAATGGCAGGACAGGAAGCCTAGATATCACGTAGGAGATGGTGAGACATGAAGAATTTAATTAGATATCAAGGGTGATCAGTTATCAAGAGTAGGGAATACTTTCCAAACTGGTTTAGGAAAATCATAGCTATAATGAGGCAACGCAGATCTAACACAGGTAGACACTGAAGCCCAGAGTCAAAGTCTAGTTGAGCAGAAGACTTATAGCAGCCTGATTAACGTTCGGGCCAGGGGAGTATCTTTGTCAATGGAAGAGCAAACAGAATGAGCATTAGGAAAAAAATATTTATTCATCCCTCCCTGCCAAAAAATAACTTAGATAATGGAATAAGGTATTTTTATGAAGACATGAACTCTGCAAGTTAAAATCCCCAGAGAGTCAAGCTTTGCAAGTCACGTGTTACACAAAGCCCTGTAAGTAATGAGAGCAAATTACAAAGTTAAGTGTGAAAGTTCTCTGCACCCTCTGATGAAAGAAGAAAGGAATCCCTTGTGGTCTCTTAACTAAAACCAAACCTCTAGAGCTGAGGAAACTTAGTCCTTGAAAATAATCACACAGCCTCCCTAAAGTGGCAGGAAGGATGATTCTAAACCATTGCGATTTAGTGGAAGAAAGGCACTGATCACAGCACACACGGTAGGTCTGGCAACGCATGTCACAAAACCCTAGCTCCACAGCAAGCTGGAGCTTGCACAGACTCAGGATCCTCCTCCTCACTTCCAGCTGGGGAAGCTCAGAGCCAAACCTACAGTGGCTTTCCCACGGTTCTTAAACTAGCAGTGGTACATGTAAGAATCCAGACTCTCAGAGCAAGCCAAACTGTCTGTTTTGAGTGGAGGACAAATACATGCTTCTAACAACGATGTGAAGAGTCTTTTTGAAAAAAAAAAAAAAAATTGTGTGAGTGAATTAACTTTGAACCTGACAAAATATACAAGGTAAGGAGTTTTTTAAAAAGTAGTTTGACAGTTTTCTCCCTTTTAATTAAGTGTTACTATAAAAAGAAAGAATCCTTAGGATAAAATTACACATTTTGTTCAAATCAATATCTCTTATGCTTTGGAAAGCGTATATATATCTTTTATTATTTTAATTTTCATCTTTTACTTATACATAAAGTGGTACGTATCTATCTCTTCAAATACATCCTTTATGATGAAAACATTCAAAATCCTTTTTTATGTTTTAAAAATATTGACAGTATATTATCATTACCTTGTAGTCACCCTGCTGTGTAACAGAACTCCCAAACTTCTTTTTCCTATCTAACTATAACTTAGTATAATCAACCTTTCCACACCTCTCTTCTCCCTACCCTCCCTAGCATCTGGTTAACCCCCATTCTTCTCAATTTCTGTGTTTTCAGCTTTTTTCAGATCTTACATACATGTGTTTGCCATTTGCCTATGGATCCAAATATCACATCAAATTTGACACATATGAATTTGGGGATCACTTCATAGATAATTTAAAGGAGAGTGGAATACAGTACACTGACCTCCCCAGCCCATCCCCCAACACGTAGGTGAGATAATTTTCCTGCTACCTCTTCTGGTTCTCAGTAATATACTAGATTCTGTCATTAAAAATAAAGCTTAAACTTAGCCTGAAATAAACCTAATTACGGTGGAAATTCTGTTCATCTCCATATTCAAAAATTATATGCTATATAACGCTGAATAATAAAGTAAAATCTGAAATTATTTATACATTATGCACCTTTTTGATAATTTACCATTTATACAACAGTTCTGGGAGTTACCACCTTTTTCAAAATTCTCTATATTATCACTCTGAGAAGTTCAGAACTGTATGATTCATACAGTGACTTACCTTAAGGAGGGATCATTTATCAATGATTTATCAATGATTCCTCCTTAAGGTAAGTCAAGACAGTTTGATTCTACTTACAAACATGATATTCCTAGATACACAGCTGCCCTACACATTTCACAGCTGTCCTATGCACTTCATATTTGCTCTGTGAAGGGTAAAAATCATTTATCATTTATCATTGATAAAAAATTATACACAAAGACAAGACAGTTTGATTCTACTTACAAACATGATATTCCTAGATACACAACTGCCCTACACATTTCACAGCTGTCCTATGCACTTCATATTTGCTCTGTGAAGGGTAGAAATCAATAAACAACAGAGAGAATTTGAAAAAAATGTAGACTTTATAAATAATAGTTATAAAACATATTGACATGTGGGCCAAGAAAAACAATTGCTCAATATAAAAGAAAGCTGAAAAAATGTGTTCAGTATAAATTCAAGAAACATTGAAGTCAGAGGTTGATGAGATTAAATCAGCAATAGAATTATTAAGGAATCCATACAGTGACTAAAAAATATTTATCTTTCATGAGTGCTGACATTGGCCTTACAGAAATGGGTATAATCTCAGATGCTACTTGTACTGTGTTTGAATAGTCTTTATTGATATTATGAAATACTTAAATTAATCTACATTAATCTTAAGGGTCCTGGGATATCCCTTCTATGCTTCTCACCTCCCTCCATAGTAGGAGGAATGAAGTATGTTCTATAATTCCTTTTAATATTTTATGACCTAAATGTCTTCTCTAAGAAAGAATAATAGTTTTGGGCTAATTCTACACTTGCAAATCATTGTCCAAGTTTGGTCCTAAAGTTGCTAAGAAATAAATTCTTAGTATTTCTGTAGTGATATTTGCAGGCCGCATATTGTGTGGACTCTTCTATACCATACTGTACTCTGTCTGCTAGCTACTCAGCCCTTTTTTTTTTTTTTTCAATTTTTCGTAATCTAATTAAATCTGGCTATCCTAATACATTGAAATATCCATCTCAACATCAAAAAGATATTATTTCCCCTGTATTCTATATTAGCCAATAAAATTATCTAGAAAATATTCTAGGACATGTCTCTTATAACACAATAAGTCATCAATTATTAGTTATTGAGTGTAATCAATGAATGAGTGAACAGAAAGTATGGAAGACATATCATCTGCACAAAGTATTACTAAATAAAATGGAAAAACTGTTGGTACTTGTGCATTGGATTATTTGTTTTATTAATATCACCATTTTAATTTGATGAAGAGTTGAATGTTTAATTTTCTTTCAATTTCAGATATGGATATGATGAAGATCAACCAGACAGTTCTGCAGGAATTCATTCTTGTTGGCTTTTCTGTTTACCCACATGTACAGACATTCCTCTTTTTGTTCTTCTTTTGCCTTTATGTCCTCACCCTGACAGGTAATTTGGCCATCTTGGGTCTTACCTGGTTGGATAGATCTCTCCACACCCCTATGTATCTCTTCCTTAGTGCACTTTCCTTCTCTGAGACATGCTACACATTGGCCATTGTTCCCAAGATGCTGGCAGATCTGTTGGCCAAAACTAGCAGAATTTCAGTCACAGGTTGTGGCTTTCAGATGTGTTTCTTCTTGGGACTTGGTGGCACAAACTGCATCATACTCACTTTGATGGGGTATGACCGTTTCATGGCCATCTGCAACCCTCTCAAATATCCACTGCTTATGACCAACATTGTATGTGGACAACTTGTGGCCTCTGCTTGGGCTGGAGGCTTCTTCATTTCTCTGGTAGAGACTGCACTGGTATTCAGGGGCTCGTTTTGCAGACCCAACCTTGTCAAGCACTTCTTCTGCCATATGCGGGCAGTCATGAGGCTGTCTTGTATAGACAGTGACCTCACGGAATTCATTGTGACCGTAATCTCAGTGTCAGGCTTGCTTGGTACATTCCTGCTTATTTTTCTGACGTATGTTTTAATTCTTTCCACTGTTCTCAGGATCCCATCAGCTGAGGGCAAGCAGAAAGCTTTTTCCACGTGTGCTTCCCACCTCACGGTAGTCATTATTCATTTTGGTTTTGCGTCTATTGTGTATATGAAGCCAGAAGCCTCGGGGGGAGATGATACACTCATAGCAGTACCCTACACTGTCATTACCCCTTTCCTCAGCCCTGTCATATTCAGCCTCAGGAACAAGGACATGAAGAATGCTTTTAGAAAGGTAGTAGGAAAGACAGCTGCCTTGAAGAAATAATCTTGGTTTATTGTTTTTCATTTAAAGTGTGTCTCAATGTCCCCAGAATTACAACTGATGGATACTGGGATCTAAAACATTACAAGCATTTTTCAGCTTATTAAGGATGCTGTCCCAACCATCTACTTCCACTATATGAGAAATAATGTTCCTGCAACTTCTGTCCATCAATTTATGGGTGTCTTGACATGGGAAAGAAAGAGTAGGGATGGGAGGTAGGAAGCAAACACAACCACTGCACTGAGATGTTTTAAATATCTCAAGATGTAAAGATTTGGGGCATTTTTTTCCTAGGCCAGGTTGTGATAAACCATTAATAAGATGCATGCCATATAGAAACAAACTGTTCCTGCATCTCATGAGCAATTGAACTTAATGATATGCTTATTTTGGTGCAAAACATTTTGAAGAGCAAGTGTGATACAGTTGGTAGCAATGCTAGCATCCCATACCTGAGTGCTGGTTCAAGTCCTGGATATACCTCTTCTAATCCAACTCCACGGCAATGCACCTTGGAAGGGACAGGAGGATGGTGTAAGTTCTCAGGCTCCTGCCACCCACTTAGGAGACCTAAATGGATTTTTTGGCTCTGTCTTTGGCCTGGACAAGACCTAGGTATTGCAGCCATTTGGATAATGAGTCAGTGAATGGAAGTTTTCTCTCTCACTCTCATTCTTTTTTTATTCTTCTTATGTCACCCTGCCTTTCAAATAAAATAAAAAATCTTTAACAACACTTTGAAACAAATAGTTTGTTCACAATATCCACTTCCTATGAATGCTTCTCTCAGTTCTCTGGTTGACTAATTTTATGACAGCTCATGAAAGATATAAAGTTTTTAACCAGGACTTAGTATATGTAAAACTTATGTGAAAACTATTGGTATAATTTGAACTCCAAAATTAATAGGACTGAGGAAAAACGAAATCATGGATAAAAATTACTATGTACAGAGGGCTGGAATTGTGACATTTCATGTTAAAGCTGCAGCATGATAGGGCTGGGGCTGTGGCACAGTGGGTTAACACCCTGGCCTCTTGAGCCGGCATCCCATATAGGTGCCGGTTCGAGACCCGGCTGCTCCACTTCCGATCTAGCTCTTTGCTATGGCCTGGGAAAACAATAGAAGACGGCTCAAGTTATTTGGGCCCTGCACCCGCATGGGAGACCTGGAGGAAGCTCCTGGCTCATGGCTTCAGATGGGCACAGCTCCAGCCATTGCAGCCAATTGGGGAGTGAACCATCGGATGGAAGACTTCTCTCTCTCTCTCTCTCTGCCTCTCCTCTGTGTAACTCTTTCAAATAAATAAATAAATCTTTTTTAAAAAGTTGCAGCATCCCACATTGGAGATTAGGCTCCCGTCCCAGGTACTCCCTTTCTGACACAGTTTCCTGCTAATGTGCCTCAGAAGGATGCAGAGCATGTAGCAAGTACTTGGATCTTTTCCTCCCATGTGGGAGACCTGAATGGAGTTCTTGGCTGCTGGCTTCAGCCTGTCCCAGCCCTGGCTTTTGTGGTACGGTGGTTGAAGGATCTTCTTCCCCCCCACTCCTCAGCCTTGCCCCTAGTCCCTCTCCCTCTTGCTCATCTTCTCTGTCTCCTCCTTTTAAATAAATAATAAATAAACAAAAATTAAAAATTATTATTCACATAAACTGCTATGCTTCCTCACCTTCTGTAGGTGGATTCCATGACATATGTGGTCAGAGAATCCCTGATATCTCTTATCTGTTATCACTGCTTCAGTGGAAAGAGGGTTCTTTTACTCTAGTTTCACTCTTAGCAAATAGTTATTGAATCTGGAGAAGATATTAAGCCTGTGGAATAAATAATAACAACTTACTCTCTTACATTGGGTGCAAAGGATTATAAGTTTGGATTCAAGTGCCCAAATCTTTATTTTGAAGAATTAACCTGCTTTTGTCTGATCTATTGACTGTGGCTGAGATTATTGGTTTCCTATTTCCTGTTCACTTGTGAGTTAGAGATAAGAAGATAGATGGAAGCTGGAAAATACCAAAAGTCATGTGTACATATGGGAACTTGCAATGAGAAAATGACACGATTCAGTAACTTATGTTAGGAAAGTAGTTTTATCAATATCGGAAAACCAAAATTCATCAAAAGATCAATTTTGGATTATCAAAGACTAAATTTGGAAAACAAAACAATAAAACCTTTAAAAGGCAATATAAAAAGATGTCTTCAACATCGTGAGATGGGAAATATTTTTGAAGATTTATTTATTTGAAAGGCTGAGTGGAAGAGAGAGGAGAAGGAGAGAGAGAGAGAGAGAGTGAGAAGGAGAGAGAAAGAGAAAGATATCAAAATCGAGATCTTCTATTGGCTCGTTTAATTCCCAGCTGTCCACAGCATCCAGTTCTTGATCCTGGCCCATATGGGATGCCTGTGTTGCAGGAGGCTGCTTAACCCATTATGCCACAATAACAACCCCAGAAATATTGTTTAAGTTGTACACACAGGTCAGCAATGTGGCATTGCAGGTTAAGTTGCTCCTTACAAAGCCAACATTCCATAGTGGAGCACCAGTTTAAGTCCTAGCTACCCTGCTTTTACTCAGCGCCCTGCTAATGAGCTTGGGAAAACAGTAGAAGATGGCCCCAGTACTTGCACTCCTGTTGATCATGTGGGAGATCCAGATGGAGTTCCTGTCTCTTGGCTTCATCCTGGTCTGGACCTGGCTCATGCACCATTTGGGTAGTGAATCAGCATATTTGTGTTTCTCTCTGTCTCCACTTCTCTATCCCTCTGCCTTTCAAATAAATGAATTTTCTTTTTTTAAAAACTTTTAAAACAAAAGTTTTATTAATACCAAAATGCGGTGCCCAGGAAGCTTAAGAACTCTGCAGGCATGATGGTTGAGAGTCTCAGTTCGAGGTGACAAACAGGCACTGGAGATGACCACCAGCTCAGCCGGGCTTCAGACACTGCCATCCCCTCTTTCTGTGGTGAGTCTTTGCAACCTGCATCTGTGCAAGCTCTGCTTGGCTGTGCATGTCTACCGATCTCCTAAAGACAAAGAAACAACTGCCTGTGGTTATCATCGACATGCCAACAAGCCAGGACCAAAATTCCCAGAGGGACAATCAGTGATCTTAGGCAGGTGATGAGCAGGCACTCAGAAAGAGGCATGCATCGGCACTTCTTGCCTTCCTGTCAGCAACCTGATCCCGTTTGAGACTCCTGGAGCCTGCTACATTGTATTATTTTGTTGTGGTAGCTATTAGTTAAAACAAACTTGTCAAAAAATTCATACATAAAAATCTTACATAAAAATGGAAAGATTGAATCCAGTTTGCGAAATTCTATTCAGCCAAAAAAGATCTGTTTGGGGAGTGGCTAGAAAAGCCTCATAATAAAACAATAGACATTTAAAGAATGATTTAGTGCAAAATTTGGATAATGATGAATTTTTGAGGGAGTGGCCTGTGATTGAGAGAAGAATAAAATGGAAGGACCCCTGGTGAGAATAGATCATTTTTATTAAGGACAGGTATTGTGGTGCAACAGGTTAAGCCACCGCTTGCTCAGGATGCCTGTAGTCCATATCAGAGTACCTCTTTGAGTTCCAGCTGCTTAGCTTCGAATCCAACTTCGTGTTAATGGCACCTGGGAACATCGTAGATGATGGCTCAGCTCTTGGATCCCTGCCACACACGAGAGAAGCCCATATTGAGTTCCAAGCATAGGAAACACAGGCATTTGGGAAATGAAACAGTGGATTAAAGATCTCTTTCAATCTCTCTGCCTCTTCCTTTCCCAGTGTCATTCGACATTTCAAATAAATAAAAATGGTTTGGTTGTTTAAAAACTATTTTTGTAGTATAGATAGTAATTAAATATTTTTTGTGGAGTGGCTCCAAGATGGCAGAATAAGGAGGGAGCTCACTGATAGTCCAGGAAAAGGTAGTTTAGTAAAAGTGGAGATAGTGAAGTCTTAGGGAAGTTACAGAAAAAGCTGTGGAGGGAACTCTTCCAGAATTAGAGAGACATGGTGGATCTACATGGAGGACACGGCTGCCCACAGCTCGAGGGCCCAACTGCTGAGAATCTTCTCCCCTGCACCAGCGCTGGAAACAGAGGTGAGGTGAAACTGCAGTAGCCCAAGACACTGGTGGAAAAGTGGCACGAAGAGCCTAAAGGGAAGGAGGCTTGAAGCCCCATGGGGGAAAGTACACCAGCCTAACTAGAGGAGAGAAAAATACAAAAGAGACAGTACAGATATGATTCTTTCTCTCCACTCACCTTACAAAGGCAAGCGAGACAATAGAGCAGGCACCGTTTTGGACATACATAACAGCTACACCAGTTCAGGGTGCCCGCCCTCAGCCAAACAGAAAAAGTTGACTCTGGCTGGGAGTAATTATGGGAGACTAAGACATAGTGAATGTGTGGAGCCTATGAAATGGGACTGTGGAAAAAAAACTGAGGGTGTGTGGAAGAACTCATGGTGTGGCTGAGACATCAGTAGTCTCGGTATGAGATGCCACAAACTTGGTAGCCTTGGTTACCCGGTGAGAGATATTGCAGGGGAATCTGAGCTTATACTGAGGACTTCAGAGATCCTTTGTGTGGTCCTTGGGACAGGGCAAATGAATACTATACCCACTGGGGCTAGCACTCAGGCACTGATTGCCATCAAGGAGAAGAGCTCAGCTGGGCAGAATTACTTCCCTTTTGAATAAAAAAAAAAAAAAAACAGAGAGAGAGAGAAGATTTACCAACCAAACCTGGGTATGTTACCTTTGGCACACCCTTAACACTGAAGAACTGAACAGAGCTCTCTGGCCACACCCACCACAAGCCTCTAGGGATTCACCAAAAGCAGACAGTCCACTTAATCCAGAGTCACAGTATAATGAGAAAAGCCACCACAGTGGGAAAAAAAAAGCAGCAGCTAATACCAAAGAATATCTCCACAATGCCAGACAACAAACGCAGAAACTGAGGAAACAAGAACAAGGAAGACATCATGATGCTCCCAAATGAATATGATATTCCAATAGAAGATTATGAAGATAATGAGATAGAAGAATAGCAAGATATGGATTTCAAAAAATTTATGATAAGAACATTTAGAAGTTATAAAAAACAAATGCATGAACTACAGAAATCCATACAGGAAAGGACAGAAAATCTCTCTCATGAAAATGCAATCTTAAGGAAGAATCAAAATGAAATGAGGAATTTGGTAGAACATGAAATTGAGATATTGAAGAGAAACCAAAATTAAATGAAGAATTCAATAGAACAAAAGAAAACACATTTGAGAGCCTTAAAAAACAGAACCAGTGAGGTAGAAGAGAGAATATCGGGGCTGGCGCCACAGCTCACTAGGCTAATCTTCTACCTGCGATATCGGTACTCCAGGTTCTAGTCCTGGTTGGAGTGCTGGATTCTGTCCCAGTTGCTCCTCTTCCAGTCCAGCTCTCTGCTGTGGCCCAGGAAGGCAGTGGAGGATGGCCCAGGTGCTTGGGCCCTGCACCCGCATGGGAGACCAGGAGGAAGCACCTGGCTCCTGGTGTTGGATTGGTGCAGCACACTGGCCGTAGCAGCCATTTGGTGGCTAAACCAACGGAGGAAGACCTTTCTCTCTGTCTCTCTCTCACACAGTCTAATTCTGCCTGTCCAAAAAAAAAAAAAAAGAGAGAGAGAGAGAGAGAATATCAGACTTAGAAGATAGAGCACAGGAAAGTATACAATCAAACCAAGGAAAAGAAGAGGAAATTAGAAATCTAAAAATACTGTTGTGAATCTACAGGATACTATTAAAAAGCCCAATATTCAGGTTCTAGGAGTTCCTGAAGGCATGGAGAGAGAGAAAGGATTAGAAGGCCTTTTTAGTGAGATACTAGAAGAGAACTTCCCGGGTTTGGAGAAGGACAGACATCCAAGTACAGGAAGCTCATAGAACCCCCAATAAACATGACCAAAAGAGATCCTTACCATGACACATTGTAATCAAACTCACCACAGTGAAATATAAAGAAAAGATTCTAAAATGTGCAAGAGAGAAACATCAGATTACTCTCAAAGGATCTCCAATCAGACTCACAGCAGACTTCTCGTCAGAAACTGTATAGTCTAAGAGGGAATGGTGCGATATAGCCCAAGTACTAAGAGAGAAAAAACT